CAGAGACAACGATTGTCGATGATTGTACAGTCTTCACACATCCAACGAAAGGTCCAACTACCTGACACCGACGACGTCGAGACAGGCCTAACTGCAGGAAGGAAGGATCCGAACGGGTACACGCTGCAATACGCACACACATGAGCAACCACCTGATTGAATCTTTGCCTATCAAGGTAACATTTTCCCATCAAGGTAGCATCGGGCGGGTTGCATCATATCTTGCGGGATACACCGAGGAATCATGTTATATATATACTTACAGGATGGTCGTCGTGACGTGACACATTTCTTGTTATTAGTATGGAAAAAAATAAAAAAAAATGGCTCGATTTTTGAATTTCTACAGCAGTATGGACCAGACGCCGACTTTACATGGAAGTCGTACGAGTGTCGACTTAGTTGTGCTGTCACAGCATCTTCCACGCACTTCTGCCAGTGCTGGTTTGTTGATTGGAGTCTTGTAGGTCGAGATACAGCAGTGGGATTCTCGTGTTGTGGAGGCAAAAGTGAACCAGAGCAAAAATTTTCATGCATAGCTCGATTACTGCTGCTGTGTTTTTGCTACAGCAGACTGAGTATGGACTAGACGCCGAACGACGTCCGCGTGCTACAAGTACCGCAACGACCTAACGGGATGGGATACTTCTTGCCACGGCGAACCATAGTACAATGCGATGCAAACATCCGTTCGTGTATCGCGCGGCTGCCACATGTGTCGACGACAGGTACACGTACAGCTCTCGCCATGTTGTCGTTACCGCGCAGGAGGACGCCTCGGAGATGTTCCACATGCATGCTACAACGACAGCAGTACTACTGTACATGGATGTCGTAGGAGAGTGGAGTTGTGATGTCACGGCATCTCCCACGCACTCTTCTACCGGTGCTTGTGTCGATTGGAGTCTTGTAGGCCGAAATACAAGGTGGGTTGGACTCCCGGGTTGTGGAAGCAAACCTGCAACAACAGAGAAGGCGGTGTTCTATTTACTATAATATAGAGTAATTCCGCTCAACTTTTTTTTTTTTCGCGGCATGTGGTCGCATATTTCTTTGCCACTGCCGAAAAAGACCGCTGGATCTTCACGCAGTCCACCTTTTGCATTTATCATTTTACACTGAACGACGCAGGACGGGTCGACCTTCATCGTTGTTGTTGTTGCTGTTGTCTCCACATTAAAAACCGTTCCGACGTCCTCCTCGATACTTGTGGACTACCTGTTGGAAATTGTGGGAATCCCTTCATTCTGAGAGAGAGAGCCATAGGTCGCCATCCGGCCTTTTCTTTTTTTGGATGCACTTTTGTTCTTGTGAAGTCTTGACGTTGCGCTTGCCATCGTCGCCGCGTAAGTGTTTGTGTTTTCAAACCTTCTCAGCCGGACCTTCAAACTTCTTGTTGATAAGTCTCCGTGTGGTAACTTCTCCGCGCATGAGTCATATGCAGCTATGACCTGCGCTTTGACTTTCACGATGGGTATTTAACCTCCCCGTCTTGCGTTGGTGAGTACCTGCGATATACAGAAGGATCGCTCCACGACGCAAACGTCGACGTCTCCGTTTTTTTTTTTTTTCCTTCGCACTCCATCCTTGCCGCGGTTTTCACACCGACTTCGAACGTGGGGTGCAATTTCCTCTCTTCGTACCTTCCTCGTCGGCCTTCTCCGTCGTTGTGTACATAATGTACAATACCTCCATTTTTCGGCTTTTCGATTCCGATAGACAAGACTACGGACTGACATGTTCCTTTCATCCCCGACAGGACCGCGCGCTCGTCGAGTGCCGAAATTCTTCATCACTTCCTTGCCTCTCCCAACACCGTCCCTTCTTCCCGCCCTTACAAATCCTCTCCCCTTCTTCTTCTTCTTCCCTTCCTCCCGGACACTCACCACCATCCGTTCTGGATGTTGGCCCACAGCCCCATTGGGGGGCGGGGGGCCAATCCTTAACCCTAGTACCTTCCTACAGAACATGTATCAAACACCAATCAAACAACAATAGTCTATGCTTCTACAGGACCTGTTTGCATCCGTGTTTTTAGCGACAGGAAACAGTGTACTGCCTGTGTGGGCCCACTTGTCGGAAGACTACTGTAGACTACATGTAGTAGTCTATGCATTGCTACAACGGGTGGAACATGGCATTGTAGCACCAATTCG